TGACCTGATGTATATTCCAGTGATTCCAGTACTGTATCTTCTCCTTTCCCAGAGAAATTCTTGAGAAGATTCACTTCACTGTTTACAGCAGCTGGATTTAGTCTTACGCCTCTGCAATTAATAGAAAATGGTTTAAAATGTATTCATCAAAAGGATGGGCTCAGAGAAATGAAGAGAATATTACACAATTTTTTTATTTGACTTTGAGTCTTAATAGTAGCCACAAAATATAAAAACGGGTCATCTTCCACAGTATTTCTTAATTTTTTCTATAGTTTAATGAAATTTTAGTACCTAATACAAAGTCATTGTAACTATGAAACAGACTCAATGTAATACTTAATACAATTCCATGAAGAAATAAACAGTTCCTTGAAAATATTTGACTGTAACTTTGTTGTTTGTACAAATGACTTCAATTTGCTAACAAAATGCAAAACATATGCAATAAAAAAACCACACTTGCGGGCACACACTTGCATACCCACACCTACAGAAAAATCTTCATAAAAAAATGTTTTTTCAATAACTTCAGGAATAGTGAAAGTTATTTCCATAAATTTCTTTATATCACACCAAAAACACATGCTGTGGGTTGAAACCAATCTGATTTAACAATAAAACAAAAAAATGCATTGGCTGAGATCCTTAGCTTCCATTTGAAAAGCACTTACTGTGAAATCTGTTTCAAAGAACTACTAAGCAGTTGCAAATCCAGCTGATGAAGAAGAAGAATGATCTTCATTTTCGTCTCTGTTTCAGGGTCATAACCTCTTTTCACTTTGTCAAATAAATGCAAGATGGACGTATCTTCTCCTTCAACAGTCGCATATTCAGGGCCAAGAATTTTCACTATAGGATCTCTGTTAGCTGTAAACATGAAACAGAATCATGTAGCGTGCTACTATGTTTAAAATGATTGGATGAGACAAACACCTTTTGTTTCAATTGCTGTATGATGCTATTAATTTACAGTAAGAACCTTATAATGTTCATAGGTATTCATCAAACATTACCGTCTGATTTATTTTTTCTATTGCAATTTTACTGCAGTTTTAATAATATGATAATATTAAGAACAAAAAGAAATTTTTCTTAATAAACCAATTGCTTTTCACAGCAAATATTAAGATTCATTCAACCAAGGAGTGAATATTAAATAGTTCCCTTTATCAACAGTCCCCTTTCCCAAAAATATGCCTGGCTGATTCCCAAACCAGGAAATCAATGGGTTTAACTCACCGAAAAATGATAATTTTGGAAATATGATTTAGTGTTAAAGAACATCTTTAAGCTTTTCTAGTAGCATTCCCAATGGCCCCATTACTCCCTCAGCTATGCCAGCTGTTCTTTTTGGTAAACAGTGACATAACTACATGTCAATGTGTTTTACAAAACCATTTTGCTCTGTTGCTGCAAATGAAGTCCCATGCATCTGTGAATGATGATACACTGGTCATATTATTCTTCCCTATTATTCATGGTTGACCACTGTCAGTGACAGGGCCCTGCATCAGATGGATCTGAAGCTTGATCCAGTATGTGCATTTATATTTTAGTACTGCAGATGCAATTTCTGCTGATATTGCAATAGAATAGAAGTGATCTCTTCTACCTCCAGGTAGGAGGAAGATATCCAGTTCAGCATATCAACAGTCTACTTGTCACTTTGAAAACCTAGGTCTTGAAGATGACACAGTAGAAATGCTCGTACCTATATTTTAAAGCCACTGTGAGAAGGAATCTGGAAATGCTCATTGTGAACCTTGTACATGTAAGAATGTCTTAAGCATGTAATTTTTTCTTTGGCTATTTTTTAAGGATGTAACATTTTAAAGGAATATTAAACTACATACATAGGAAAAACTGTTATTAGCCTCAAAGAATACTTTTTTCCCCAGAAATTTAAGCCTACTGTCATAGCTGTGCAATTGCTCAGTATACACAGATTTATACATGAGATTCAACAATTTTATTTTAACTTTATTCCAGATTTATTTGTTATTAATTTCTGTGTAAATAAATCAAGAAACAGAAACTTCATTAAGGTCTGGATCAGCACCTTTAGCCACCTTCGTGAATGAATACCTTCTCACATACTTAAAATGCTTTTTTTCTGCATATTTCATAAATTGTAGAAAACATTTTAAGAGTGAGGAAAGATTAAAAAAAAAATAAAAAAAGAAAGGAAACCTTCAAGGCATGCTTGTGCTTCCTTTAACTTTTTTTCCGTAGTAATGTGTAGCAAACGGGACAGCTGGTCAAAACTGCGAACCCTGAGAGTCGATGCCGAGAGAAGGAGCAGTGGTTGGCCATCTTTGCTTGTGGCTTTAGACTGAACAGCTGCTTCACTAGAAAAATCAAATTATATCTTTTTACTATCAGAGAAAAATGTGTAATGAACTGAATGCAACCCTTATTCCCCATCCTCCTGTGCCACTCGGGAATGAGGAGGTACAGGAAATCAGAAGTGAAGTTGAGCTTGAGAAAAGGTAGGTGTGGGAGGCGGAAGGTTTTAAGATTCAGTTTTATTTCTCATTATCCTAACTGGTGGTAAATTTAATTTCCGTGAGTGAAGTCCAATTTGCCCATGATAGTAACTGGTGAGTGATCTCTCTTTGTCCTTATCTCGACCCATGAGCCTTTTGTTGTGTTTTTCTCCCCTGTCTACTGGAGGAAGGGGAGTGTTAGAACAGCTTGGCGGGCACCTGGCAACCAACCAAGGGCAATTCACCACACGGGAGTCACTCCTAACACAAAGAGAAATCACATGGTTAATCATGGTTAGACATATATTGTGAAAAGTCTTAGGAATAGACAGTTCAAGTTGTAAGAATCACTAATTTACTAGGTCTGCATCACAAACGAGACAGAATAGTCTCAAACTCTCAAAAAGAAACACTTCAAATTTTAGCTCAGAATTTTCAATATATATCAAAAAAATCCCACCCATATCCACTAAGGCTTGCTTTATGCTAACTGAGCACAATTTTGCTTCATAGTTCACCTTCTGCGTTTGAAAACACACTGCAGTTCAGACTTACTTGATCACATAACCCTCTCCAAATACCGAAGAGTCCAACTGCGTTTTCCACTCAAGCGGTTCTCTGAAGACAAATGCTGCTTCCTCGGGATGTTTAGTGCTGAACTCCTCTGTAAACTTAATAATCTGATTTAAAAGCGATTCGTTCAAAGGGGTGATTTCGAGCATGCCGGTTCCAGAGCCAGCAGTAGTCCACTGAGCCGCCCTCTCCAATGCCGCTCCCATGGTCTCGGACACTCATCACAGGAGTCCACCTTGGCAAAGAGACACCGCCACAGAACAGCCAAGCTGAGCTCTCAAATGGTAAATGCCGCTGTAATTGGAAACAAACATATCTAGTAATTATTCGATTCATTTAACTCACAAAAAGCCCCAAAGTGGGGAAGAGGGACTTGAAGAAGCCAACTCGCAAATTTTAAAGAAATAGGGAAGTCAGGTGCAAGCACAGTTTATTTCACATTAATTAATTCCGGGTGCTATGGAAATGCTGGGAGCACACAGCAGACGGCCTCTGTTGGGGCTGTAACAAAAGGTTTCCCCCCCCGTTAAAATCCCCTGTGCAGGCGGACACACCCAAGCCCACCATGGCCCCCCCGCCTTCGTCTCTGAATGGCGGAAAGGAGGGTGTGGGACCCCCCCGACCAACCTGGAGAGCCTGAGACCCGCCGCAGTACCGGGCCAGGGACCGCCTCGGCCCTGGGGGCTGGGGAAGGAGGGGGAGGGAGCAGGGAGCAGGGAGCCCGCTAGTCGCACGGAGCCCGCCCGAAGTCGCCCCTCACCTCGGCCCCGGCGAGCCCGGCCGCGCCCCGCCATGGCCGGCGGCGTTGCCGTGGGGACGGCGTTACCGGGACAGCGGCAACAGCCGCGGCCCCGGCCGGCATTCCCTCGGACGGGAAGAGGAGCAGTATTTAAAACAATAAAGCCGGCTTGTATGTCTTTCGGTGCGGACTTTAATAATGTAGTAACTACAGTTACTTCGCACCAGAAGTTAAGGGAAGACCACCGAGTGGATTTTAGCTTGAATTTTAGCCTGGACAGCTCAAACCTGTCACTCGTTTGTCAGCTGCTGCAAGCTTTAATTAATAAAGGTTAAAATTGACCACTTTTAGTTCTTGAGGCAGTGTGGCAGATCATGCTTGAAATGCTTTTTGTTAAAGGAAATGTAACATGAAATTATTATTTCTTGAAAGAAGTAAAGGAAAATAGGTATGGGCAGAACCAAGGAATAAAGTCCTTTCGCATACTGAATACTACACAATACTATACACATGCAAACAGAGAGCTCCAAACACAGAATGGAAATTAATACTATTCACCCAGTCCTATTATAGATCCGTATATTGTTGAATGAGCCATCACTCTGGATAAATTTTTAAGTTATAAAGTTCCAACTGTGCTCATCTCATAATGCAGTCTTATCTTTAGTGCCACTGAGCAGATAAGAACTATGTTCTGGGACTTCCTTTTCCACTCCAGTTCTGTTATTTGAGCCCATTAAAATGCCTGCCACGTGATAAAAATTGGACTTCTATTTGAACTAGGAAGGAATGGTTACCTGCTGTACAGTGACTGAAGTTAGGAAGCTGTGGGCAGCTTCCCAGTATATGTGTCCTGCTGAAGGCAGGATGTGTGTCCTTCAAGGACAGTCCAGCAGAAATACCCAGCTTCCAACACCACAGAGTTAACACACCAAGAGTTGTTTTACCAATTCAGAACTCAGCTAGGTAAGAAACCTCTAATAATGAGGAAGGTCATGGAATGTATGTGGAGTGTATCTCGAAGAATGACACTGTGGGATTAATACCCTTCTTTCATAGAGATGATCGTTCATATACATTTTACTTACTGAAACTTTCAAGCAGTAACTATGGATAAGTACAAGCAGTCTGCACAGTAATGACTTAAGAATAGCATTAGCTGTTCTTGTTTCACTGCATAACTTAGAGAAGATAAAAAATGAATCATTTGATTAGGTGAAACTGAAAGAGCATTTTTAGTAAAAAGCCTGGGTAAATACATAATGCAATTTCTTTTCTGTATGGAACACTATGTATGAATACATTTCCAGAATGGATTAAATCTCTTCTTTTTACTGAAGCAATGACTATTAAAAAGTTGATTTTGATGGGCAGAAGGTGCAAGCAGCAAAATGTGAAAGGGAGTAAAAGTATCCCCACCATGGGTGGTGGGGAGTGAAGACAGTGAGTTTTCACACAGAGCTGAGTATTTTAAGCAAGAAGTCGGTGGAGTAAGAAATAGAATTCCTAAATGAGATCACTCTGTTCCGCGGAACAGCAAGAAGAAAAGATGTTTCAGTTACAAAGATAAATGGAATGATTTGCCCCCAAAGACTGTGCATCTCCACTGGCTATAGAAGGAGCTTTGGTAGCTAGCTCAGGCTTAGTTACCAGTGGATCTTCCTGTGGGGACAGATAAATGAAAAAATGAAAAAGCAGAAATGATCCTACAATCCAGTGGTGAGCAATGCTGCTGGGATCTGGTATTAGAAGTTAAGTCCTTGGGATGCTCTAGAGTCAGAGGTGCTTTTCTGCCTTTTTTGTTGTTGTTGTTGTTTGTTTGTTTGTTTGTTTTTTGTTTTTGCTTTTTTGTGTGTGTCTGGCAAATGCAGAGTTTGTAGCATAAAACACTCTCAGGAAAACTGCTCTAACTCTTCTGAAGACTAGAAACCACCTGATTTAATTTATGACCTCAATTTGTGTGACTAGTTTATGTGTATTTTTCTTGTACAAATGTTGGTCCTTTTCCTTGTTTTCGACACCTACTTTCCTCCATAGATTTTACACCCAGTTTCTGAGTTAGAATATTTTATCTTAGACTTCACTTTGCTAGGCTAAACCAGTTGAGTTCCTCTAGACACAACCTACAAGTTCTTCACTCCTCTTAGCATCTTAGTATCCCTTATTTGCCTGTGTTCCAGTCTGAACTTTTTTTTCTTGAATAGATTCAACGCTATTTGTAAGATCATTTCACCAGGACCTAGTACAATGGCATTAATAGTCTTAATCTCTTTTAGAAGTTCCTCAACTACTACATTCTAGGATTGCATTTGGTTTTCACATTTGGGATTGTTGTCACCTTGCAATTGAATAATACAACCAATTTTTAATCCCTCACTTTTATTTTCAGCTGATGAGTTTGTAGCTTTCTACAGAATTTGAGCATATGATATTGCAGTCTGCCCTTTCAAAATCAAGTTCCATTTCTAAAGAAAAGAAATGTTTACAGCATGCAATCTCTACCTTTTTGTTCCCTTCCTCTTCCTCTTTCCAAAGTTTTGAATCTGATAGAAAATTTGAATCATATTTCACAGGGGTTGTGATCTTGGAAATAATTAAGTGATATGAACAATTTCTGTTCCAGCTTGTAGTGTCTGTGCTCTGTAGGTTTTTGCACATTTTCAGACATGTTTCATCTGTATCAAGTCATTACTGCAATTATTGTGTTGGTATTTCAGCTCTGGGTGATTCCCTTGGTTACATTCAGGCATATCTTGCTGGATGACAGGGAATATTGCCTTCTTACATCAGCTATCACTAAAAAATAAGCACTTAGGGACTCCCTCACTTAGCTAGACTGAAAGATATTTAATACCACTTTTTGCTTTTTTTTGATTGATCAGTGCTATCAATATGTCCTAGCACAATAGTGTAAATGGATATATTAGAAACAAATTTTGCCTGAAAGCTTAAGTGTTAAGTAATCACTTAAAGAAATATGAAAGTATTCTCTTGGTGACTCAAAATCAGTGTGCAAAAAATTCCAGGCAATGAAGCTATAACGTGTCCTCAAAAGCAGCTTACTCAGGAACTGGGTCTGCCCAGAGATGGCATATGCGCCATGTTTGGCTGATTCCATAAGCCAGTATTAGTACATTTATGTAATAGAGACTTTCTGCTCTAAGTTATTTTTACATTTTTAGTGTAAAAGACATTTTATAAAACAGTAGGTGAGATGTTTGCCTGAGCATAGTCAAAGATGAGATCATTTGTTACTGGCACAAAGAAATGGGGAATATGAAGAATTTGTCAGCATGGTGAGTAAAGCAATTGGAAATTTCTTTTACAATCTCGGAGTTGGAGCCAAAATGTGTAAGCAATTTTTCATGTATATTTTTCCTCACATTATTGTAGTACAGGGCGTAAATTACTACTGCTAAAGCAGAACAGTAATACTCATTGTAAAAAAAAAGTGGAGGCTTACACAAAATAAAAAAGGTAAATAGTACCAGCTGGTAAATAATACCAGCTTTTGTAAAATAACATTTTAGCTAATCAGCTTCATGGTCAGTTTGTCAGACAAGCTGAAAATCAAGAGAAAACAATATAATATTTGTCAGTTTCCTTTTATTGTTCATCAGTTTGTTTTTGTTGCAAAATTTACATATTTTTTCATTCACAAAACAAACTAAAGTCCTGTTTTGGTGAAAAGGGCTTGGCAAAAGAAATAAAAAAAAAAATCCATTTGTACTGCTTTTATTTCATTTTGTATCATTACAAATGCACCATTTAGAAGCCTGGAATTGTTAACAAACATTTTTATGCATCTTAAATTCTTGTAATCCATTTTTGTTTGTTGTTTAATGTTTGTCTTTTTTTTTTAATTGGGTAGCAGTGCTTTGTGGAAAGGCTCAAAAGGTGACATACATGAGAATGTAAAAAGAGGGAGAGGGCATGATGAATCTGCTGATGTCTTTTCCTTCTTCTCTTTTTCACCCAGTCTCTGATTTCTGTGTTGTAATCTCCTACTTACCTCTTGTTTTCTGAGTAATTAAGTGCTTCAAAAAATGTCTACTGAACTGCAGTTGGAGTTTTTATGGATTGGACATTGTGCAATTCAGTGTCTTGGCCCTAGAAATTAAAAAACAGAAAAGACCATTTAAATGGGACTCAATGAAAGGGGTAAAGAGGCATGCAAGGGTGCATGGGTGTCTGGCAAAGAGAGAGGTACTTCAAAAATCTTCAAGGAAAATAAAGCAGGACAATATTTTAGTTAGTAAGTGATAAATTAACAGTATCTGCCCAGTTATTTTCTGAGCAACGACAATAACAGAGATTCTGCTGCTCGTTTTTAGAAATGGCTTCCAGATGGGATTCATATTTTACAGTCCAAGATTGAATGTGATTTAATAAGTTTCTATCAGTAAAGAACATAATATTTCAGAATATGAATTGTGTTACTAGACTGTGCTTCCCTCTGTTTGTAGATGGCCATTTATTCCATTTTGTTCATTTCTGTTTGCTACTGCCTAGGACTTCTGAATATTTTTGATTATAATCTGAAAGAAATAATCAGCCTGGTGTAATAATCAAATGACTGTAGTTATGTCACACTAATATTGAAGTACTAGTTTACAAGACTGTGAAAGACTCAGTAAATTAATTTTGAAATTTTTTAAAGACTCAGTAAATTCATTAAGATTTTTTTCTTTGTAGCATCAGAACAAGATAGAGGGCAGGTTATCAGGGGCCTTATGAAGGGGAGATATCTTTTCAGCAGCTCTTTTTCCTGGGTTTAGGGGAACAATTCTACGTAAAAGTTTTTCTTTTTAATTCCTACATTATCTTTTTTGTGTCTTCATCCTCAATTCCTGCTTCACGCAACATTTTGTCTTGAAATTTCTGCAATGAAAATATGTGTGCCCAATAACCCTGAAAGAAAAAGCTTTTGAGAAAGGTATTCTGAAGTAGAGTTATCTAAGTATATAAAAATTTTTTTAATTGTTTTAAAATCTGGACTTTTACAGGAGTCACCAAAGTATTGACTCCACGAGTCACCTTAATTTGTTCGTGTAGCAATACAACTCCTTGCACAGAGAAAGGATTAATGGCTCATTCTCTTTATCTTTCCAGTTAATTCTTCCCTGCATAAAAATTTTATATTTTGTTTGTATTTTTCAAGGGAGAAAGAATATCTATGCATTTTGATGTTTATATAAAACACTTTTTCTGGAACTAGTCAACTGTTCTGACTTTAATGGTATAGCAATTCAGTATAATGGAAACTACATAGTGTCTTTTAAAACTTGCTCACTGGTTAGTTGAATTGTTTTTATGAGTGGATTATAACTACAAGGTTAGTACAGTTTCTGTAAAGAAATCAGAAAGATATAGAATCCTTTTAAGTCTTCCACATAAATAAACAAAACAAACCAAAATAAATCCAACAATATTTATTCAAAATAGTGTGTGCCAAGTGGAATAGACACAGTCATAACCTGGCAAATTAGAACACCTTACTCTGTGTTAGGTGTATCCAGAAACACTTTGCACCTTTGCAATTTAGAAAAGAATTTGACTTTCTGGCCAGTAAAACAAAAAATGGAGAATTATTTTAAAATGCAGGCAGAAAAATTGCCAGCTGCACTTCTTAATTATGTGTTTAACCTTATTTGAAATAACTTAGTATTAAAAGCAATGCTACAGACAGTGTGTCTTGTACTGTATTGTAGAGAGTGTTTTTAGCTTTCAAACACAAACCTTTTTCAAGTGAATGCTACTGACGTGCCTAAATGCCTTTTGCTTTCTTAGTAGTTTCTAAAAATTGCTTCCTTTTTCAAGGGGAAAAAGGGAGAAAGGATTGGGCTGTTTGTTTTGTGGTGGGAGTGTGAAAAGGAGATTGTTTTAAAATTAGAATGTCATAAGTAATCTTCAGTTGTGGATTTCGTTTCCTAGAGGAAAAATGAGAGGTATTGGTGGAAAGTATTTTGGACTGTAATGTGGTGATATTAGTCAGGAGAGAGGGTTTGACTATTTCATGACGACCGGATTCTTGCAGGAGGTGCCGACACAGATGCACAAAAGACACTACATAGCTAGAGAGAAGGTTAAAATACTTTTCAGGTATTCAGCTACGAGTTATTACTGTGGTAGCCCCATTTCACTTCTTAGGTAATCACCAGCAGTAATTCTGGATAATTCCCTGCTTAGTTTTTACAAAACTAACATAAAAATATAAAAAAAAATAAATCTGTATCGTTTTTCCCCTGTTATATAATCAGAAAGAAAGCCAAGACTGACATCAGGGCGTTTTCTCTTCTTTGTAGGTCATTTCAAGGCAGAAATTCAAGCACCTTGGAGCAATCACTGGTTTTGAAGAGACTGCTTCTATCATTTATGGTGGTACGGTAATATTATATGGGAAAATGTGAAATTGTGAGAGGAGTGGAGATCAGAATACAGCCAAATCACTACAGGGTTTGAGCAGCAATTGGCTGTAAAATTAATATGGAGCAACAGTTAGATGTTGCAAGGTTGAGCATTAATCCAGTGCCTGGTAGAAAAATAATGCATTTATCTAAATTTCTGCTTCATAGTGATTGTACTGTGCGAGCTATCAAGCAAAACAAAATAAACCCCAACTCTAAGTCCATAGAATATGTTTGATGAATCTGACATCTTCACTCAACTTGGATGAAAAATAACTCCTTTGTGGATGAGAACAGGGATTATAGGTCCATTCCAAATCCTTTTACGGTAGAACTTCAATCTGGGGAGGAAAGTTGCCGTTTTATCAACATAATTTTTATTGAGAGAAGCAGAAATGCGTGTTGCATATACATGTATTCTTGCATAGTGTACATTCTGATACACTTAATTCAGCCAATTTTCTGGTATTGTTCTCAAGATCTGTGCCATGGATATTAGAGTCCTCCATATGGGTACATTTTTCCTCTAATTTTTTCCGCTCCTTTTTCTGGTAATAGCTGTATACATTCAAGCATTTTAGTTTAAATTTAGAATCATCAAGGTTGTTGTAGAGGATCTGAAGTTCTGCCACAGTTAGGTAATTATTTTACTCTAGAAGGAGTTGCAGGTAGCTCCTACATCTTTATTTTTTAGCTCAAGCAGAGATAGAGATGAACACTATCTATTTTTAAAAATTCTTTATTATTTTCCCACCTAATTTATGCATAAATTAATATTTCAGCTTATTACAATAGCTGTTGATTTTCAGCATGCCTTCAACTCTGAATGTAAAATTTCAGGGCTGAATCAGGCCACTTTTTCAAAATGCGTACTTATGTGCTCTGTTTAGATTTGGGAAGAATAACACTGAATTCTTTGAATGTTATTGTTTCCTGGAGAACCAAGTTAGCATCTATTGCTTTGGTATTGAAAAGGTTGCTGATTTTGATGCCAAAAGACTCTCTTACTAAGTAGTTTGGAATAATTTCTCAGAGATGAAAGGGGATTCCATCCCTAGAGGAAAATTGTACACGGCAAGACCACATGGCAGACAAGTATCTTCTCCCTTTGTCATTGATGGATTTCTGTCATCGATTTCATGGCAGGAAAAATTCGGTCTAGCAACAACACTGCTAGACAGCAGGCAGTTAAACTTAATTTTTCCCAGACTCTTTAAAAAAAATCTAGGACCCGTGGCATTCTAAAATATAGTTTAGTTATATTAATAACATTTTTCTTCTAATATTTCAATGTGAAGGGTTAGTGATTTGTTCAGATTTTGGTAAAGCCATTCATGCTGGAAATAAGGATGCCATGGGTCAGAAGCAATTAGGCTTAGGAGTCTGAAAAAATCTACCACCAATTAGCTGTTTACTACTGCTGTCAAGTAAATATAAGCATATTTGATCACGGTAAGCCCAAACTGAGATGCTTTAGTGATTCATTTATTATGGTATTGTAGTCTTTGATGTTTTGTTTCAGGAATACAACTAAATTTTAAGCAGTGACATTCAAGAATTAAAAACATTCTGTGCCATTAAAGTGAATAAGTGTAGAATAAAATGTAATGATCTGAATTTACTCATTTTTATGCAAAGAGTCCTTTGCATCTACTACTGGCTGTGCTACAGTGCACAGTATGCATGGTATGGAAATCAATGCCAAAGCTGGCCCATGGACTGGGAGCAGGGTAGCCAGTTTGTGCAGTGCTTTGCCAAAGCTAATTTACTTTGCTAAAAACCAGGGTAAATTAGACAGTATGCAGCATTAAGCAATGTGGTTAAACTGCTTCCAGTTACCAAGCTGGCTCCTTCGGAGCTGCTCGGACATGCCCTGACTAAAATTGATGTGTGTGAAATTTTATTCATGTAAGGAAGGATTGATGAATCATACCCATCCTCTCTTCTGCAGAAATTCTGTCCTCGGATACAGGCAGAATGTATAACTAAGCATGTTTTCAAATAACTACAGTATAACTGTCATTGCATTTGACCTCAGTAATGTGATTCTTTGAGTAAACACAGAAAGGCACCACAACTGATTATAATTAAATATAAGTAGCTAAGCACAGATCTGTGGTATAAATAGATGTGTTACAGCTGACAGTTAAAGTTTGAGTTCAGTTTATGTGTGAGCCTTTGCATTACTCATGTAAATCAATGTTCTCACTTACAAGAGAAACCTCATAATTTACCACTACCCATAAAGTAGCCTCACTGTAATCAATAGTGATTCCTATATGGAATTACTGTGCAGAGCAGCGTTTCTTCCATCCGTATTCTCAGTATGATTACTGTATGGTTTGGCACCACGACAGAAGAATATCCAGTGAGCTCAGTAGTTTTCTGCGTGGAAGGACTTAGTTGTCTTAATTTGGTACAGAAATTCTGTTCAGTTTAAAGTAAGCAAAACTAGAATTAAATACTCCACATGGGGAAGGATTGAGTATAATCTTCGGAGGGGGTGGGAGGTAGTTGTTTGCAATCTCACTGTATTGAGACTTTACAATAAATTCAACTTAATTTTTTTTCTTTTTTTTGTAGAATACAGTAATTAGAAATACTTGGTGTTTGCTGCCATATTGATAACAGTAAAGGATGATCTCGTCACTTTTTTTTCATCTCTGCATCTGGTGATAATTATATATGCTGCATTTGAGACTGAGAGCAAACCATATTCAGATGAATCTCAAAACATTGTGCAGTCTTCTGATCCTGTGAGCTTGCTGCACTGCACACACAGACTTGCTGTGCTCAGCTCTTCAGTCCACCAAACAGGAATGATGAGTGCAGAGGGGTTTCTGAACTCCTCCACTCCTCTGGGGATCCTGGGGATGCCCATGGGGGTGCAGGGCTCTGAGCCACTCTCCTAGGGCACCTCATGGAGCCACAGCCGGTGTCCAGTGGGATTTCCTTCCATAAAACAGGCTGAAGCTTTGAACAGTAAGGCAGGGACTTTGAAGCACGCAGGAGCCTGACTTCTCTGTAACTCGCCACTCCACTAGACAACTCCACAAGTTCAAGGGCAATCGCCAATTACCCACGAGCCCAGGACATGAGTGAGATCCATCCTGGAAGCAACCAGTGATGTCAGTAAGAGGTAGGTGTGCTCTGGGCCACCTGGACTGAAGCGATCCCCTCAGGAAACTGAGGTCAGACCTGTCTTTTAGTGGAGTTAAAAGAAGCTGTAGCTGGAACTTGAGAGTTCAATGTACTCACGAAAACCTCTGCTTTGGCACTTAGCAGACTGACAGGACTAAAACAATTGAGCCAAGTGAATTCAGATTTTACAGTCAGTAAAGCAGAGGTTTTATGAATTGCTTTTTGTGCATTTGGATTGCCCGAACTCTACTTTTGGTGCCTCGTGTGCATCCTGAGTGTATGGCTCTGTGTTCCAACAGAAAATATAGGTTACATCTCAAATAAGCAAAATTTAGAAAATAAATGGGTTTCTGTGTTAGTATGTATTTGTAATTACTAAAATTAAAAACATTCCTCTACTTTTCTAGTCACCTGTGTAACTAACACCTCTGTTGGAATGGAGCGTAACTCTTCTAGTTACATAAAACAGACACTTCCAAATGTAATGTTTTAAAAGCTGTGATTAACTAATGGGGGAATAGAAGAGTTTTCTATTAAATATGGTGAGCATGCAAAATAAATAGGACTTTCAAAAAAACCAAAAAGTAATTCTCCCTGGCACTGGATTACAGCATCAAGGAGTGGCAGTACTTAAGCTGACAAAACTATATGATAGAAATCTGTGATCAGCTTTCCTGTTCTAATTTTCTATTTCTTATATGAAAGAGACTTATTTTTGACTTTGCCCATCTTGATATATGGATAGCTTACATACAAAATCCTATACATTCCTTCATGTAATTTGTGATTTTTAAGATACACAATACACAGTCATGTTTTATTTTGTAAGCAGAAGAATAACTCTTCACTTCAAGAAGTATCTTCCCCTGAAGTGTCTTACGTGTCTTTTTCAACTTCTGCCAGCAGAACAGTGTAGTGTTTTTAAAGTGTTATCTTTTTGCTGTATTGTTAAGCTTATATTTCCCACCTTGAGATTATGGGAAAACACACAGAGGCTTTGTATGTTTTGCCTATAGTCAGTAAAAACGTACATGTACTCACAATATTGCTTTAATAGGAAGTTCTTCAGTGACTGCTCAGTGATACAATAATATCTCCATTTAAAAAATAAAGTAGCAAGACAGATGAAGGACAGACAAATGCTAAACAGCAACTTTACTACTTCTCAGCTTAGCAGACCTATCTTAAACTCAGCAGTTGTTCACAAATATTGCCTTTGTATTTAGCTAGAACGTTGCTGTTTCTATTTTAGGTACAGGAAAGGACAAGTTTAAGAAGGACAAGCCCCTTCAAGCTGTTCTTCAGCCACATAAATTGAACTCACGAAGATTTATCTTTGTAATCCCTGCCTCCGCTTTGCTTGCCTGCCTCATTGGGATGCAGGGTGCCTGGTTTCTCAGTGTTCATCACAGCACAGCTCCCACTGCCTACAGTTTGCAGTGGCAAGTGCTCAACACTTCTACAAATTACACTCCTCCATGCTAAGCACCTCGAGAAACACAGTTAACAACCACATGTGCAAAGTGACTCGTATCACACAGGAAATCTGTGGCAAAGGCAGGGATACGATACAGTTCCCCAGGGCTGCACTCATGCCTTAATCATGAAAACATGTTCTCTTCTCTACAGTTGTCTGCTTCATTCACTGTGTCCTTACAACGGCTGCAACAAAGAAAGTACAGATTGCACTGAGCTTTCACTGTGCAGTGATTCATCCTCCAGCACAGGTCCTTTCTGTGCGCTAAATAACACAGAAGAGCCATGGAAAACTCTCCCTGCCCAAAGGAATTACATCCAGTTCCCTCTGCCTCACCACTCACATAATCCACCAGGATCCTTGTCCTTTTATCTGCCTCTTCTACCACCAAGAGAGTTGGGTGCATGGGAGTGATGGGATTCCTGATCCAATTCCTGTGCTTAATCAGGCCCGACTGCGGCAGCGGCGAGCGGCAGGATCAGGGGAAAATGTTTTGAACGCCAATAGCCCCAGGGCTGGAGCGTGCCCAGATGTTTCATGGAATGGCTCTGGCAGACCAGTCACACACAGGTGTTTATTGGCTTGAAGTAAAAGTCAGGAATACCAAGAATAATTCATCCGCCACTTGGCTCTTCAAACAGAACAGGAACGAGCACAACGTGCAAATCTAAATGGCAGATAACAGCAGCTCTTAGCTAACACACACACTTCACCCGTGGAGCTGCTTGCATGATGAACTTTTTATTTTGCTGGAATGAACTCATTTTCGTTATGAAAACTGATTATGCATATTGTTACGGGCATGCAGCCAAGCAACCATACAACTCGCTTTTTCACTAATCTCTGTCATTTTTAGGAACAAAACACACTGCTGCTAACTGCAAATACAAATCTACTTCTTAGAAATATGATTTGCAGTTTACTTTCTCTTTACATTTAAAAGCTATTTAAAAGCAAAACAGATCTAGCTGGATCAAAAGTAGCATTGTGCACTTAAATGTACTAATTTTCACACTAAAATTACTTTAGGGAGCAAAGACTTGCTATATGTGGCAAATCAAAAGAGAAATGTAAGAAACTATTCCAAAGAGGTTTGCTACTCCACACAGCAAAAGCTCTGCACAGCCTCTCCGTGACCTGGACTCCGCACGATTTATTGGTTATCTTTAATAAAGCAAAATCCAAGCGCCTTTCCTGCTTTGTTACTTCCATTTTAGCACTAGCAGTAGCAGACAGGCAGACAAAGTTTAGTTTTAGCCTGGGAGCTAAAAGAAATACTTCTAACATGCATATGTACTGTTACAGTCTGACTTATAAATGCTCAGTAGTAAAGTCAGCAGGAATTGAGCACTAAAACTGGAGAAGAGTAAATGGAAAGAGATCCTGCTGTATTTGCAGACTCGTGGTAATAAGGAAAGCGCTCCCAACTGCTCTTGGAAACTTGTCCTGTAAGTGAGTAAGGGGAGAGGTCAGACAGTGACAGACTGCTCTTCCAGCCTGAAATGGGGGTTGCACCAAAACTAAAAAACCAAAAACAGTTTGAAACATGCATTTAACTAAAAATTAATGTTATTAAAACAAATTATACCCGTCATTTAGAAATGTAATCTGAAAGTACCGTAACTCCTGGCTTCTCTTCAGATGATGTCTGGCAGCGTGCTGTGTATTATCCACAAAGTATCTTCCAGAATCCCCAGCACCCTGGCTTCAGGAACCACTCTGAATCTCACTAAATTCTGATGATTCTGATGTCATTTTCTAAGCTTAAAGCATTCTTTCAAGTGACATCAATCATGACTCAACCTGGCCTTTCCTGCCACATATGACAAAGGCTCCTATTTTTAAACTTCCAGACAAACACAGCCTCCTGTATAACTTTTTTTTTTTTTGCCAAAAATATGTCAGTACAAATCTCACTATTCTGAGCATACTCTGTTCTTTTGGGATACTTGTCAGCTCACCTATTTGTATCAGACTTATAAGAAATTAAATGTTTTTCTAGAAGCAAAATAACAGACTTGGAGAACAGAGCTTCCACCTTGCATTATTCATGGAATTTGTGAAAATCTGTGGTTCTGTTGTCAAGAAGCACAGAGACTAATTGCACAGAGCCAACAATTCACTCAGAGCAGTGGTTAAAATGGATAAATGGATAAAAATTATTTGTGTTAGTGCTTGAAGTCTCTTGGAAATGTCAAGTACTTTCTTGGCATTCTAAAACCCAGGCTGTACAGCAAAAGCGGGAGAGTCCCATTTTGTATTAATTTAAAAATGCGTAAAACTGATTATCCCCTTCTAGCACTCTGACTGCTTCATGAAGACCCAAGATGCTGATTGTAACTGGCCACACTCTTCCAGCTCGTCATGGCTCTCATTCATCTTCCAGCAGACTGGTGAAAGTTTTACTTCCTATGTAAAAAGATATTTAGTTCCTAAGTAAAAAGATATTTACAGAGATTCCTCTCAACCAGTTTTCCCACTTGGAGTAAGCTGTAAGTGTTCATCTGCCCTGTTTCCCATGTGTGGCAGTCTTGCCATTCCCATGAACTGGCTGTTCCTCTTGTGTAAATCCCCAGCCCATGCATGTATCTCCATGTATTTCAGTACTGTCACTTCAGGTTCATACTCTTCGCTTTAATCACCTTGCAGGGTTTAAAGGACACTTGGACATGTTCTCATCTCTAGTCTCTAAAACATTCACCAAAATTTCTAGTATAAAGGATTTATGGTATTTCTTTGGTTCACAACATTTATGTCCTTACCATACATCTGTTACTCTACTTTTTTTTACTCTGCTCAAGTAGAATGATGCACATGTGTAATTGAACTGACAAAAGTTAATATTTTTCTAGAACAGATCACTTCTAGTTAGTGCAACTGACATTTTACTCATTGTTCTTGTTAGTACCCACATTTATTCTAAAAGAACTTTGAAATGAAATCATCAAAAAGCTACCAGCTGCACAAGTCTTCTGAAGCTTCTGTCTGAGTCTGTCTTAGACATTACAAAAACACGTAAGAAGGCTTAGAGATAGTCTCAAAAAAAAAAAAAAAAGAATAGAAAAGGAATATCCAGGTGGCTTTTAAACTGTGGAATACAATAGAGTTTGGAAAGTATTACACAGAAATAAAATAACAAAAAACCCCCAAGATACGCCATTTACAAGTTGAAATATATAGTGCTGTGCCTTCGCGTGAGCCGAGATCAATGAAGCAGACAGAGCTCACCCTACAGGGTTGGAGAACTGCTTGACAGCTCCGAGTTTACAAACGGGTGACTGGCAGCTTGAAGGCGTGCTGAGCAACACTAGAAAATCTTTTAAGGCTTAAGGTTAATGAAGGTTAATTATTCTGAAACACTGTTTTGTAGATTTCAATAATAATTGCCTAAAGCGACAGTGATGAATTGCTGCCTCCATTTTGAGAGCACTTGGGAAATTACTTAAAAGTGTGTGAGAAAATTTATCGGGAACACATTGTAGGTATAAAAGAAATGAAGCCCTGGAAGGACAGCTAAGCTGCAAAGGGCAGGACCATCTAATGCAGTCCTACAATTTCCATTAAATAATTCAGACAAAGAGTCAATAGATTTATCAGCCACACATATTTACTACCATGTGTTTGACAGGACTTTGATGCGTTTGCATTGAAATTCGCTCCCAGATACTGATCTCAGATATTAATCCAAAGATAATAACCAGACGGCTCTCACACGTTTGATTACTTGCCGAAATATTTATCATCTTTGCTGATTGCATCTTATCGTAAAGCCAGAACCTGAGCTCAGAGAAGTCATCAGCTTGGTTCCAGTGTAAGAGCTGCCAACCCCATTGTGAGGAGTGTTACAGAAGTCAAAGGGACCACACATGAAACGAGGCACTAAAGTTCAACAGTAAAAGTTGAACAGCAAGACCTGGCATTAGATTACAAGGTCTTCAGAGCAAAGGCATTTCTGATTTCCCAGGCACAGAAAGACAAGAGGTAAAACTCTGATACTGTTAAAATAAAAATTAAACTTTTCTAACCTCACTAGCACTGCATGTTTACACACTACCATCTCATCTGTGCCACAGAAACTGCAGGAACAATCCTAAGTGCTGAAGTGGTACAGAAGGAAGTCATTTGAGGCTAACTATAGGAGGAGTTCCTACTATCACTCACTGAGGGGTTGAAGTGGTGTCAGCTCTCTGCTGATATTTCACCCTTGTCCCATACACATGATACAGAAAGCAGCAGCAGCCATTAGCTGCTCGCAGTGAAGCAATCCAGGCTAAGCACTTTCCAATAGCACAAAATGAGGCAATTTACCAGGAAGAGAGGGAGTTGCATTAGCATGAAAAAATTCTAAGTTATTCACAAGATGCTAAAAGAGAAGGAAGAATCATCAATCCTGAGCACTGGAACCACGAGGATCCATAAGGATTTTACATGACGCTGGTGAGCCCAAGCCAAGTAACCACTGCTGTAAGTGGAGCTGTGAGGGGAGCAGAGCAGTAGCACTGCCTCCCTGCAGAGCTCTTACATATTTGGAGAGAATCTTGCCTCTTGTGTTTTCCACTTAGATTTTGTGACAGATAAGTTAGTGTGGCTGCGAGCGACCCAGGGGTTCCTGCAGAAAATAGAAGCATGAGTGTCTCACAGGGGGTACATTAAATGAGGTTGCAAGGACAATAACAAACACCAACTGTATAAATGGGTCACGTTTATTGGCATCAGAGTTAATACAGCCACCACCATCCCTCTGGTACAAGGTAGGTGAACATGAAGGAGGCTCAGGATTAAAAGTGCAACGATACATGGGCATCTCAGCCGCACCCATCTTGGGACTTGTTGGACTTGAACAGACTCTAAGAGTAGGCAGGTTTTAGTACCATTTCAGAAGATAAATTCTGGAGACCACAAAGTCAAGTGGTCATTCAGAGTGTGACACTGTGAAGGGAAACCATGTACAGAGTCTGCCAGGGCGCAGTCAAGGACTGCACATTAAAGTGCATTACCTGGCACGGAGGGTACCGTAACTACTCCCTGCTAATGCTCGTATGTGAAAGGCACAGGGGTGGTGACTGCTCCTTCTCATAGGACACCCTGCTGCTCACATCATCTTTCCGTGCTGTTTTCACCCACAGGTTGCTCACTTTTGTGCCAAACTTGCAGACATGCTGGTGTTCAGAGCCCAGCAGTGCCCCAGCTTCTCCCTTTCAGCGGTTCCTGGCCAGCCTCTCCTTTCTGCTTCACGTTGTCCTTGTTAAACTATTGGCCCCTGACATGGAGAGGCTTTTTGAGAAGATTGGTTAGGAAGAAAGGAAACGAGATTAAACAGAATGGGTCACTTGAGAACACTTGCAGAAATTTTGTCTTTATTTGCTTGGTCTGGTAGCTTTGGAAGATAGGAACTCCACATGTTCTATGGTTACATTTATATAACAAAGTCCTTAATTACAGCAACCCTTACTTTCAAGCAGGCAGTAGGGAAGCCCCCAAAAAATAGAAAAGTTTGCTGTAAGAATAATAGTGTCTCATAATCAGAAGTGTCACATAATCCTCTGAAAATTAAAAATGGAATAATAAAATATTTTCCCCATTTACTAACTTACTGTATAATCTTATCAGGGATACCATCCCTAATTTCAAACACTGTGGTGTTACCTGTGGCAGCCTCTCCTGTGGCAAAGAGCGGCACCTCCTGCTTTGCTTGGAAGAGGTTCCCTTCAGCTCCCCTGCTGTGCTGCAGCATCCCCCGAGCCCACACGGCTGGCTGACAGTCATGGGGAGCGTGGTGTCAGGAGCAGGGTACGAATGTAGTTGGATTTTTGAAGGGAAAATAGAACTTGATACTTCAGTTCCCACAGAGTACCACCACAGAGACTATTTTCTGTAAAACTAAACCAGCAGAGTGATGTTTTACACCACAGTATCACATAAAAGGCAAGACAGTTGGCCCAGTGATACTCCTACACAGACAAATTCCTGTGTCTCCGGACAGGTTCACATTTCTTTATCTGGCAAGCATAAAATTGTAGTCTGTGTACAAAGCAGTCTTTTCATTTAGGGAACAATTAAGTTAATCCCACAAGATTTCATGTTTAACTGGTTTTGTAGGGAACAAGTTTGTAGTCTGCATTCAATCAAGGTCTTTTGACTTTCAGAAAATAGGGGCAAACCAGTATAGTTGAAATGTTAAATTCTAAGCTTCCTGAGATGTGTGAGTCCTGCCTGAGTAAAACTATGCATCTATTTGCTAAAACTTTGGTACTTTATCAGGAGACTTCTTTCTTTAGTATGCCTTTTATCTTCCAATCAAGCAATGTAAGACTGCTTTTTTTTTTCAATAAAATAAATTGGTGCACACTTGATAAATACAGAGCAATATTTACATGTGCACACAGGCTCAGTTATAGCTGCTGCTGGCATTAAGGTGACATCAGCTGCACTCATGACAAGATGCAGGCTCTTGGCCTTCAAAGTCTCACCTATTCAAGAGCATGGTCAGGCTCTGTGCTTTTTTCAGTGTGGTTAGAGCTGGAGTTGGATCCAGCTGTGGCCAATGATGATCTGAATTCAATGAAGTCAAAAGAAGACAATAATTCAGGTTCAGTTCTGGTTTTTGACAAAACAATGGTTCCAATCAATCTTTGGTTTTGGTTCTACTTCCTGCTTAACAGCTGTGTAAAGAAAAACATCTGGAATAATACCCCAGCAGGGCCAATAACTGAGGCTGCTCTTT